GATAGTGTCCTCTAAGATCACAGCTCGAATCAAATTCGCGCAAGGAAGGGACGAGATGCTGAAGGTAATTATGGAAATTTTGGCAAGCCGTCCATATGAGGGCTACAAGATGGAAGCTGGACTTGTCTATAAGGAGGTGAATGGCAATGACCTCCTCGTGATCCCGAAAATGATGGAAAAATAAGATATTGTTGACGCCCACAGTGCAGGTCATTTTGCATTACAAAAAATTGTTCACGCTGTTCAATCATTGGATCCCTCACTTAGAACAGAAGGTTCAGCAGGTGGTGAACAACTGTGTGAGATGTATAATTTTCAATAAGAAACTGTAGTACCGCTTGTCACTAGCGACTGAGCCATCTAGCGGCTGAATTCAAACTAGGCGCCCTATCGGCTAGTATGATCAACAGCGCCACCTATGGGCGGAGTTGCCATACCATAGTTAAATTTATATCGCATACTTTATTTTATACTGGCCCAAAATACAAGCCTGGGCTTAGAGTAAGTGCAACTAACTTTGCGCTGCCAATTTCCTTTTCCTCTAAGATCTTAAGCCGGACAGACGTGGTATTGTTAATTAAAAATTAATCCTCCACCTGTCCGCCAATCTAAAGTGTTTGAGTGTGCCAGACTCAACAAGGTATGTACTGGATACATCATTATTTCAACCCAGAAAACTAATAAAAAAAATTTATTTATTAGTTTCTGGCACTTTGTGCCTAATTGAGGATCGACTTGCCTTAATTCCTTAATTATTTTCATATTTTTATTTACAAACTTAATAGTATAAATTTAGATTGTGAATGTGAGCGAGAAGAAATGAGAAATGAAGCTCGAAGTACAGTGAAATAAATAAAAATAATTAATGCTACTATTAAAATGTAGTTGTTAGCCAGGAACAATAATTTTATTGTTAATTCTTTGTTCTTATTTTTTTAAATATAAAGTTAGAAAGAAGACACTAGAATGAATTTAATTAAATGCACAAGCGAATCAAATTATAAATAATAAATAAACAAATAATTAATATTAACCCCACCATTCAGCATCTGGAGAAAGATCTTTCGTCGAGGAAATAATGGACTACTGTAAGTTACCCAACCTCTTTATTGTGGCCGTATGTTGTTTTAATTAGTTTCTTTTATTCATTATTCTATTATCGTTTTAAATGTTGCTTATATTATTTTACACTTTATTGTCTTGTCTGTTCTTGTCTATTTTGTTCACAATCTATGCACATACGTCTTCTCTTTTTGGCTTCTCATCAAACAGTGATCTGCCACTCTCAGGCCGCGTGCCTTTCAACCCCCGAAATTCATAAGCAGCGCTCTCTGAGAGAGAGAGTAACCTGCTCTCTCAGAGACCAGATCATAATACCATCAACTGGCCTGTTACAACTCGGCCGTCCTGACTTTGAGACATCCCTCTATCTCTGACTTAATGCTATAACTTAATTACAATTTTATCATATTTACAATTTGTTTCAGTATTACAATTTGTTTTTCTTTACTTTACAATATTACAATTACATATTTTATCATTGTCTGGTTATGCAGCCCGCACCTGATGACCCAGCGGCTAAACAACAACAATAAATTTGCTCTGCGTAGCAAAGCTTTACCTCTCCTCCTGCCTTCTGCATAACATAAACTTTATCACTCTCTCGCTCTATTTGCATAGCTGCCCTTGGCCGTCCGCTAACTGCAGCAGAAATTCTTTTCTCAGTTCGTCTTCGTTTGTCTTCACCTACGCCTGAAAACGATCAGCTTAAATATTTGCCTATAACCAGTTTCGGACCATTTCGGGTCATAAATATCCGCAGCGGCAATTCGGCTGGCCTGCGCTGCTAATTGATAGAAAACTTCGTGGCTTAATAAATATTGCATTTAATTTATAACGTTTTAAAACAAGTGCGTATTTTTTGGGTCAAAAGGAAATTGGACAATTCGACAGCTATTGAAAAAGCTCAATAGCTCAACATTTGGTGACCCCGACGTGATCTTGGCTAGTAAAAACATTAAACATTTCGGTTTAATAATTGTGCCAAGCGCGTAAACAATTTCGTTTAGTGCATTGCTTGTGGCTGTACTTTGCCGCGCCGCGCTAGGCAAACGTACATACATACATACACATATATGCACCGGTACTTTTGCGTGTACTCTTTGCTCTCGTTCTCCTGCTTGCTGTTCATTTGCCGTCGGTAACAGCTATTCGAATTCGCTTCCCGCTTATTTTGTGCAGTAACTCTGACAAAATACTTTCGCTTGTGTGCGGGCATCATTGCGGTACAAAGAAAAATCTGCAGTGCATGTCAAACTGTTGGCTGCAGTTTATATTGTGAGCTAATAAAATAAAATGTCGACCCCAGAAACTCCTCAGTTTTCGCCGCCCAATCGAGTTACGCTCTTTAAGCGTAGGGCAAACGCGATAGCTGCCCATGCTCAAAAAATTGCTTCTGGCCTTACTGCCGATAGGGTTAAGGCCGTTCCTGAGGAGGAGCTCACCCTGAAACTTGAGCTTATAAATAAAACCGAAGCCTCTTTTTCATTGGCTCATGATTCGTTGGAGGAACTCGATTATGAGGAAATTGGCAGCAAAGCGCGGGACGACTTTGAGGATTTGGTGTTCTCCATGAGATCGGTGGTGCTGCAAGAGCTGGGAAAGCGCAAATTCCAAGGAGTTCCGTGTTCAACCATGCATCCAGAGGTGGCCATGGAGGCCGCTGCGCCTGCTCCAAGAAGATCGTGCCTTCCTGAGCTTAAGTTGCCAACCTTCAGCGGCGGCTACACTGAGTATGCCGATTTTATTTCAATGTTCCTGACAATTATTGATAGGAATAGTGATCTGGCTCCAATTGAGAAGCTGCAGCACCTGAAATCATGCCTGAAAGGTCCAGCTTTAGATGCCGTTCGTTCGCTGGAGATCACTGACTCTAACTATGGAGTAGCGCTGGAATTACTTGACAATCGCTTCAATAATAAACGCCTTATTTTTCAGGCTCACATAACAGATATTTTTGGTTTGTCAAAGGTGGAAAGTGCATCAGCTGTGAAGCTGCGTGAGCTCTCCGATAAGCTCAATGCCAATCTTCGAGCGCTTCAGAGTTTGGGAACCTTGGAGGAGATCGCTGGTTGCATTCTTGTTCATACGCTGCTGCAAAAGTTGACCCGACTACCCAGGCTAAATGGGAAGAGTCTGCCTCTCTGGACAAAATACCCACCTGCGCAGAATTTACTAAATTTCTGGAGAAGCGATGCCAGAAACTGGAGAATGTGGAGCATGCTGCTTTATCCAATGGTGGCAGTGCGCAAGCTTCAAGGCCCAGGAGGTTCAGCAGTCATGGGAGAAGTTCGTTTGTCGCCACTAGCATCACAGCCTCGACCAGATTGTGCGTTATGTGCCAGGGTGCAAATCATGGCATTTATAATTGCGCTCAATTCTCCAGCCTTTCTCCTCAAGCTCGTCTGCGTGAAGCTAAACGGCTAGCCTTATGCCTAAACTGCCTCAAATCTGGACATCAATTGAGGAATTGTAGTTCGGGCTCCTGTCGAGCATGTGGATCTAAGCATCATAGCCTTCTACACTTTCCCGCACCGCCTGTAACAGCGCCCCCACAACCTGCTCCACCTAACGTGCCATCGTCGTCAAATGCTGTTCCAAATGTATCGTCAAACTTCTCACTCGCTTCGTCGTCATCGCAATCCGCTGCTTTAGTCGCTCAGAATCTTGATACGGATTGTGTTTTGCTTGCCACTGCAGTCATCAGTGTGCAAAATCGCTCTGGTTCGTGGGTTCCTTGCCGCGCCTTGCTCGACTCGGGATCTCAGTTGCATATCATTACTTCTCGCCTCGCACACTCGCTTCAGTTGCCGAAAGTCAAATCCACGGCCACTGTATCTGGACTTGGAGACTCTAAATTTTGCTCGGATGGTTTTTCGGTAAATATTACTCTAAAGTCTCAAGCTTCAGATTTCGTCTCCAGTATCTCGGCTTTGGTTGCGCCTGCCATCACGGACGACCAGCCTAGCTTCACCGTCAGCCCAGAGGACTGGAACATACCTTCCAACATTCGCCTGGCCGATCCACAGTTCTTCAGATCACAAAGAATTGACTTATTAATTGGAGCAAGTCTATTCTTTGAGCTGCTATGCGTTGGCCAAATTAAGTTGTCTGATGGGCTCCCGTTGTTGCAAAAACTCGATTGGGATGGGTTGTCACTGGCGGAGGATCAGCGCCACGCCAGTCAGCGGCCTTGGCGGTCCAAGCTACTGCAGGGACGTTAGTCGGAGATGACGCTCGTCTGGAGAGCGTTGTGCGGAAGTTTTGGGAAGTTGAAAACGTTGGAGAGTCTGGATCTCAACGTACCAAAGAGGAACTCGATTGTGAAGCTCATTTCAACGCCAACTTTACTCGGCTGCCGTCAGGAGAATACTCGGTTCGCCTGCCAACCAAGCATAGTGTTGAAATCCTGGGAGATTCATATCAACAAGCTTATCGTCGTTTCGTTAACCTGGAGAACAAACTGGATCGTCATCCTCATCTCAAAGCTCAGTACTCGGCATTTATTCGTGAGTACCTCGATCTGAATCATATGTCTCTTGTGGATTTAGACTCACGGAATTTATGCAAGTTTTATTTGCCGCATCACTGCGTCATTAAAGAGGATAGCACAACTACGAAGCTGCGTGTTGTCTTTGATGGGTCTGCCAAATCATCGTCTGGATACTCATTGAATGAGTTGCTCATGGCAGGGCCCACCTTGCAGCCGAGATTGTTCAACACATTGTTGCAGTTTCGCACATTTCCTGTCGCCCTAACCGGCGATATTTGCAAAATGTATAGATGCGTTCGGATTGCTGAGCCGGATAGTTACTTGCAGTGCATTTTGTGGCGTGATTCACGGCAAGAGGAAATTCGTGTTTATAGGCTGGACACTGTCACCTATGGAACTAAACCTGCCTCGTTTCTGTCAGTTCGAGCCATGCATCAGTTGGCAGAAGATGAGAAGGCATCGTTTCCCCTTGGCGCCAAAATACTTTTTGCGAGACTTCTACGTGGATGATCTCATCACAGGAGGCAACTCGACACAAGACGTCTTGGAGATCATGCGGCAGACCACTGGACTTCTCGAAAGGGGCAATTTCAAGTTGAGAAAATGGTGCTCAAACGATCCTGCTTTGCTGCAGCAAATCCCAGAGGCCGAAAGGGATTCATTCTTGAAGTTCGACGATGGCAGCGACATTACAAAAACGCTTGGACTTGCTTGGGATTCGTCGTCGGACGTTTTGCTGTTCTCCACATCGCCAATGAAAATTATTGCCAAACCAACCAAGCGCTCAGTCTTGTCTACGATCGCTTGCTTTTATGATCCTCTAGGTCTTATTTGTCCTGTAATTACTAAAGCCAAAATATTTTTACAGAAGATCTGGAGAGAGAGACTCGACTGGGACGAAAGCTTGCCTGCAGCGCTTAATTCATCGTGGCTAAGTTTGTCGGCCAATATTTGTGAGACGCAAAAGCTCCAGTTTCCTCGACTAGCACTGAACCCAAACAACGTGATCGAAGTCCACGGATTCAGTGATGCCAGTATTGACGCATACGGAGGCTGCATTTACGTCGTGTCCATGGAGGATGACCGAAGGATTGCCCATCTCCTCTGCGCTAAATCTCGTGTGGCGCCACTGAAGACTCTCACGGTCCCTAAGCTGGAGTTGTCTGCTGCCGTGCTGCTGGCTCAACTCATTCAAGAAGTACAACAAATGGGGCTATTCTCGTGCTCCTACTACTGCTGGTCGGATTCTGCAGTTGTTTTGTCCTGGATTAGAGATGAGTCGTCACGTTTTCAAATATTTACTGCTAACCGAATCTCTTTAATTCAGTCTATTACAATTGGAATGGAATGGCGCTACGTCCCTACGAGCTGCAATCCAGCAGATATCCTGTCAAGAGGTGCTCTTCCCAGTGAACTGGTAGCTTCTAACCTATGGGCTCATGGACCTGACTATCTTCAAAAGGAAAAATCTCAATGGCCAGAGTCCTGCCTTGCAGTGAAGACTCTTCCTGACCTTAAAAAGATTGCTTTGGTTGGCATCTCGGCAGCTGCTGATGTATCCTCGTACTGCAAATTCTTCAACTCGTGGGAAAAATTAAAGCATGTCTTCGGCTACATCTACAAGTTTCGCCATCGTATCAGGCAACCAGGTCTCACTTCGGAACATGTTCGCTGTGGCACCCAAATGCTCATTCGCTCCATTCAGAGGGTTCATCTTAATGACGAGTATCATTGCCTGCTTCGAGGACGGCCAATAAAGGCCTCCAGCTCCATCGCATCGCTCTCGCCCATTATCGACGAACTTGGGCTTTTACGTGTTGGCGGTCGACTGAAAAACTCTGCTCTGGACTATGAGGCACGCCATCCACTGATATTACCTCGTCAGCATCCTGTAACCCGCGCAATAATCCTGCATTTTCATCGGCGCAACCTACACTCTGGACCTCGCTCCCTGCTCGCTTCAATCCGGCAGCAGTTTTGGCCAATTGGTGGCCGCAAGACGGTTGCGAGTGCTGTGAGCAAATGCATAATTTGTTTTCGGGCCAAGCCACATGTTGCTGGCCACATTATGGCGGATCTTCCGGAGGACCGCGTCAGCGCATCTTACGCCTTCCAGGTGACTGGACTGGATTTTTGTGGCCCTTTCTATCACAAGTCGGAAGTTCGGAATAAGGCACCCATCAAGTGCTACGTCTGCATTTTTATCTGCTTTTCCACAAAGGCTGTTCACCTCGAGCTGGTCCAGGATCTCTCCACTTCAGCGTTTCTTAGCGCATTGAGGCGCTTTATATTGATTCGTGGCAAGCCTGCCCGCATATGGTCGGACAATGCGACTAATTTTGTAGGCGCTAAGAACGAGTTGGCTGATCTAAAGCGATTGTTCCTGAATGCCAGCCACCAAACCGCAATAGATGAATTCTGCTTGACTGACAGTATCGAATGGCGATTTATTCCTCCTCGCTCACCCCACTTTGGAGGTCTATGGGAGGCGGCTGTGAAGACTGCGAAGTACCACTTCTACCGATCTGTTGGACCTGCGATACTGCCCGCTGATGACCTGCGCACTCTCGTTTGCCACATCGCGGCAATCATTAATTCTCGTCCTTTAGTCTCACTTTCAGAACACCCTGGCGATCTTGATGTGTTGACACCGGCGCACTTCTTGGGTACTGCTCCTCTGGCCTTGTTTCCTGAGCCTGACTACACTAATTTGAACCTCAATCGGTTGGATCGCTGGCAGAAAATTTCGTTTTACCAGCAACTGTTCTGGTCCCGCTGGAAACAGGAGTACCTGACGCTCCTTCAGCAGCGCTCCAAGTGGCGCACACAGAAGACGGATGTTCAACTCGGTGATGTCGTTCTGGTTAAGGACGAAAACCTGCCCTCCCTCAAGTGGCCACTAGCTCGAGTGGTCAACCTCGTCGCTGGATCCGACAATGTGGCTCGAGTCGCTGTGCTGAAGACCGCCACTGGCCTCATCAATCGCGCAGTTGCTAAGCTGTGTGTGCTGCCGAAGCAGGATGAAGTTGAAAGCCCTTGTCTTCCAACGGGGGGAGAATGTCTGGTTATGCAGCCCGCACCTGATGACCCAGCGGCTAAACAACAACATTAAATTTGCTCTGCGTAGCAAAGCTTTACCTCTCCTCCTGCCTTCTGCATAACATAAACTTTATCACTCTCTCGCTCTATTTGCATAGCTGCCCTTGGCCGTCCGCTAACTGCAGCAGAAATTCTTTTCTCAGTTCGTCTTCGTTTGTCTTCACCTACGCCTGAAAACGATCAGCTTAAATATTTGCCTATAACCAGTTTCGGACCATTTCGGGTCATAAATATCCGCAGCGGCAATTCGGCTGGCCTGCGCTGCTAATTGATAGAAAACTTCGTGGCTTAATAAATATTGCATTTAATTTATAACGTTTTAAAACAAGTGCGTATTTTTTGGGTCAAAAGGAAATTGGACAATTCGACAGCTATTGAAAAAGCTCAATAGCTCAACAATCATTATATTATGATTTTATCCAATGTCTAATGTTATTTGCACTCCACACGCCTTGGTATGGATTGCGAGACAACTGAAACCCATCTATATCTTTAAGAACATATCTATCATTTTTTTAAACTTTTACTATGACATAAGGACCCTTAGTCTTCGGAATGAGCTTTCTTGCAGCACCCACAGTACAGTCGAAATTCTTAACCATAACGTAATCTCCTTCTTTATATTCTGTTGCCTTCTTCTTTCTTGCATTGTAGTATTCTTCATTTTTCATTTGAGCCTGTCTTTGTGTTACTTCAGCTTTCTGTCTAATTTGTTCTAAATTTATTCTATTTTCCTCAATACTTTTTTTCTTATAATTCTAACTCATTTCTAATCTCTTCTTTCCCTTCTAATTTTCTTCTAAGTTTTTCTAAATTTCTCCTGTTTTCCTCAATAATCTCATCTTCATCTTCTAAGTTTTTCCTAATCTTTCCTTTCTCTTCTTCATCTTCCAATCTTTCCTTTAGCTCGTCACATGTTTCTCCTCTCTGTGTTATCCCAAATAATGTTTCACTAGGACATAACTTTATGCTATTATGCATCGTATTATTCATCGAATACTCAACCTTTTCCATAACTCTATCCCAATGTAAACCCTTTTCCGGTTCTATCAGTTTTGCTATCATGGGTCCTAAACTCCTATTTATCCGTTCAACTTGACCATTTGCCTGAGGCGAGCCCGTCGCAATTTTTATGTGCTTAACGTTACTATCTTCCATAAACTCTGTAAACTCAGACGATGTAAAACAACTGCCTCGATCCGATATTATACATTTCGATCTACTGTACGCTCGAAAATAGTCTTTTAATGCATTTATCACCTCTTTTGTATTCGTCGTTTTTGTTGTGTACAACCTAACGAACTTTGTGAAAGCATCTACCACAACAAATATATGTTTTTTCAATCTGCTGCTATCTACCGGTCCATAATGGTCTATATGAATGATCTCAAAAGGCTTATTGCCTTTGGGTATGCTATGTAAGTGTCCGTCTCCTTTTCCCACTTTCGGAGAATAAGCGATGCACTTTAAACAATTCTGAATATGCTCTACTATTTTGTCCTTCATGTTTGGAAACCAGTAGCTTTTCCCAATAACATCTAACATTTTATCCCTCCCAATATGACCCATTTCATCATGGTATTTGTATAGCACGTGTTCCTCCATTCGATTCGGTACATAAAATAATAATCGGTTATCATTACTTTTCCTATAAATTCTCGCTGCTCGCTGCTTTCTAACATTTTCCTAATTTCTTGGACTTTTGCATCTTTTGATTGACAAATTACTAAATTTGTTTCGAATGTATTTGTCTCCACTATCATTATGTTGTTGCATCTGCTTAATGCATCTACATGCTGCATTTGTTTGCCTGATCTATGCTTTAATTCATAATCGAACTCTTGCAATTCTAGAGCCCACCGTGCTATTCTTGGGTTCAACTCAACCTTATTGAGCGTTAACGTTAGAGAGTTGCAGTCTGTTACAATTTTAAAACGTTTGCCTAGTAAATATATTCTAAACCTTCTTAACGCTTAAATTATGGCTAAAGTCTCTAACTCGAAACTATGATACTTTGCTTCTGCTGCAGTCGATCTTTTGAGAAATAGAAAATAGGATGCAATTTGTTGTCCTCTTTTTCTGAAGAAGCACAGCTCCAAATCCTAAAGCGCTTGCATCACAGTGAAACTCAACATCATCTCTGTAGTCGTATATCGCTAAAACTGGCGCTTCCATTAATTTCGCCTTTAACAACGAAAAACAATCAAATTCTTCTGCTTCGAACTTAAAAACTCTATCTTTTCTCAACAAATCATACAATGGTTTCGCTAATATCGAAAAATCCTTAATGAATCGCCGAAAATACGAGCAAAGACCTAAAAAACTTTGAACTGCTTGCACCTTGCCTGGAACCGGAAAATTTTGTATCGCTTCTAACCCTTTACTGTCAGCCTTAATCCCATCATTCGAAATCAGAAAACCTAAATATTTAACCTTGTCTTGTAAAAATTTGCATTTGTCCATTCTCAACTCTAATTTATTTTCTACTAGCCTTCTAAATACTTCTACTAAAACTTCTAAATGTTCTTCTAAACTTTTGCTTGCCACTAAAATATCGTCCATATATATGATCACCTTTTTTTGCCTTATCATTTCCGAAAATATGTCATTAACGAATCTCTGAAATACCTGCGGAGCTGTTTTTAAGCCCATCGGCATCCTCAAAAATTCAAATTGCCCCAATGGGGTGGTAAAAGACGTAAATTTTACTGACTCTTTGTTAACAAATACATGAAAATAGCCATTCTTAAGGTCTAATTTCGTAAACACCGATTTTCCTACTAAATTATCCAAAAGGTCATCAATCAATGGTATCGGATAATTATCCTTTGACATTATTTTGTCCAATCTTCTAAAATCGATACAAAGTCTCAGTTCCCCCGACTTCTTCTTCACTAATACAATAGGAGAAGCATACTCCGATTTACTAGGTTGAATAATTCCATCTCTAATGTATTCTTCTAACATTTTTAACAGTGCTTCTTTTTCACTATATGACAGTCTCCTCGGTGCGCAACTTAATGGTTTCGAGTTTTCTAACACTATGTTCATTTCACATTTTATTTTCGGATTCTCAGGTCGCTTGACTTGAACATAATGTGTCTCTAACAACTTAATAAACTTCTCTCGATCCTTGTAGCTAATTTTTCCACCAATAATAAAGCAATTTTCCTTTTCATCATCCTCTAAAATATTAATATTCATCATTTCTCTTGTGAAATCGTCCCTATTATTTCCTAAAGTCTCTTCTAAAATTTTTCTTTCGAACCTTTCTTCTTCTAAAATCTCATGTCCTAAACCTTTTCCCAAAAATTCACTTTCTAAACTTTCTCCTAACATTTCATTTTCTAAACTTTCTTCTAACATTTCATTTTCTAAACTTTCTTCTAACATTTCATTTTCTAAACTTTCTTCTAACATTTCATCCGCTTCCTTAGGTTCCTTAGTGTCATTCAATAAACTAATATTTGTCTTATTCTCAATTTGGGTTTCAATTCTCTCAACGGTGATCATTTTTAAAGTTTCTAAATTAATTTTCAGATTACAAGCCTCCATAAAGTCCCTACCCAGCACAATATTACAGCTCATTGAATCGTTAGCCACAGCAATTAAATTAAAATAAATCTTTATTTCTTCTTTCATTACATAACATAACATTTGTCCATAACTTCTTAGTATGCTTTTATTTAATCCATAATATAGCTCTTCATGAGGCTCTAATCTAATATTTTTGGGTACATAGAAAAATTTTATCAAAGATACTGGGCTTCCTGAATCGATCAAGCATTCTGTAATAATTGGCTGGTTAGAGTTTGCATAAACAAAAATTTTAAACAATCTTACGTAATTATTTGCCCCATCCTTCTTGTTTTGGGGGCACTTGCTGATCATGTGATCCATCGCCCCACATCCATAGCAAGACCCAGGAGTCCTCTTCGATTTGATGCAGTCTCGTGCCCAGTGCCCTTTACCGATGCAGTTATAGCAACGCGTCTCCTTGTTCGCCAGCTCATCCTTCGCGTTGTGCATCTTCTTCTCTCCAGCCGCCCTTACCGGCAACATTATGTTGGCAAATGCTTTAAGCATCCTCCCTGGGTTCTCGAAACACTGAAGCTTGGCCTGATTGCGTAGATTTATCGCCGGAATGCCAACAATAAGTCCGTCCAGCAGCTCGTCATCTTCCATGTTGACTTCTCGTGCCAGCCTGCGTTTTTCTTCGAAATAGACTGCAAACTTCTCAGTTGGCTTCCATAGCCGCGCCTCGAATTTGCGTCTCAACTCTGCTTTCGACTCGTTGCCACCAAACGCAAGAAGTAACTGGTCTACCAGCTCACTCGTCGATTCTCCGAACCGGGTTGCATCTGCGTGTAGCCACTGCAACGCGCTGCCTTTCAGTTTTCCAATCAGCAAAACTCTACTCTGGGTGTCCGTTAGCTTATACAATCTGGCAACATTCTCCCATTGGGAGACCCAGGCTCGAACAGACATGTTTTCCGATAAATCCAATAGGATTTCCTTTGCCAAGCCAAATCCGGCTGACGAAAAATCGTCTCGAACGCCTCTTCCACTGTTAGCGTCGCTGCTGCCGTTTTGCCCGTTGTCGTTTCGTCCGAAATTTCCAGAATTCTCGCTGGCGTCTCTTTCATTCCTCTCTGCCTCATTCGCTTCACTTCGCTCGCCCTCTCTTTCGCTCCTACGCACATCATCTGCCGCACCGTTGCGACGCTCGCCATCTCTATCGCACACGTCGCCGTCGTTTCTGGCGCCGCTTGGTCGCCTCGGCTTTCGGGTGGAATCGCACATATCCGGGAGTACAGATCAGCTTTTGACCCCTTCGTCGACAAGTTTAAACACTCTAGCCATCTTTTCAGCTGAGCCACCGTCACTTTATTAATGTCCAAATCATTTTCAGTTATTTTTAGTTGACGTGCACAAAAATTTTTTTCCCTCGATCCCACTTCTGAGATTGTGGCCGTATGTTGTTTTAATTAGTTTCTTTTATTTATTATTCTA